AATAGGGGCTAGTCACAACAGCTGTTGTGAGGCATTTTGTGTGAAGAATGATCAACTAAAGTTTCTTATTTGAACAGGCTCAACATAAATAAATTAAAGATGTTGGTTTTTTCGTGTATACTAAAACAATGAAATTTTTGCTATCCGAAATAAAAATAAGGATAAAGAATATTATTGAAGTGAAAATTTCTTTAGCCGCGAGTTAACGTGTCGTAACCCTGGAATCGGGCTGACATAGCAGTTTCACAGAACAGTGGGCAAATGAGGAATGCTTGCGCTGCGGAAAGGATCGCCGTGGAAACAATAGAACTGTCTCACAGTCTGACACCATCCACGCTTAACTTAACTTCTTTGTAACTTTACATATTAATTGAATTTATTACTTTTGTAACTTTTGTGAAATTAAATTAATTTTATTCTTTTTAAAAAGTCTTTTGATCGCCGCCATACCGTAACTGGCGCAGTCGGTCTTTCGCGCCAATTGGTAGAACCTTCGACCAATTGAACGGTTTCGATCGTATAAATCGCGACTTCGAATCTACGACGGCGGCACGGACGAAGACCAAGTGAAGCTGACTCAGACCCGTGAGGAGATGCAGAAGGTGCTTTGGTGAGTACTCTCGCTATTTCAAGTTCCCTTTGCTCTATTTCCTTCCGTATTTACTTTAAGTAGTATATGTGATTCTGTCTAGAAGCTAAATGGCTATAGACATTTAGTTAGGAGATTAGGTATTCGTCTTTTAGCTCAAATCTTTATAGATTCCTATTAGCTATTATAGGATATAAGTCTAACAGCTAAAAATCGCTGCAGACTCTTAGTTGAGGTCCGGTAGTGTATACGTCCTATAGCTAAAATCGCAAATAGGCAGATACAAATTGCCCAACTATTCTAACTTATAACGTGTTTTTTTATTATTAATTTAAAAATGGCTTTTCCTAACGGTGAGTCAGCCAACTTTAAGATGATCGCGGAATTGATACCAAGGTACGATGGCAATACAAAGAGATTAAACCATTATATCAGAGAAATTGAAAATATTCTTAATCTTTTGGACGATACTGCCAGGGAACATCCGGCAATTATATGTCTCATAAAGAGTAGATTAAGCGGTACCGCGATTGATGCGATAGCATACCAAGAAACTCTTAATTCTTGGGAAACTATTAAAGATGCGCTCGTACGTAGATTAAGGGAACCTAGGAATGAAATCCAGGTTATGCAAGAGCTTAGTAGGGTGCGGCGCAACAGAAACGAGGACGCGGAGACACTTGGTAAGCGACTTCGAGAAATACTAGATACACTATTTTCTGTAGGCACACATACCAATAAATCGTACTACGAAAACATGGTAATAGAACAATACACGAGTAATTTAGATTTCCAAGTTTCTATAGCGGTGCGAATAGCACAACCCACCACATTAGAATCAGCCATAGTAATAGCGAGACAAGAGGAAGCGAAACTTTCCTTTAATAAGACATTCAATAATAATAGTTATAGTGCACCATCAACATCGGCTCAGACAAAGTTTAGAGAACCAATTAGGGCTATAAATCAGCCTCAAAATTCCCTACCGCTTAGGTTTGGTAACTCAGGGGCCATGCAAAACCAGACGAGTAATAAAGCTCCAGTTCTGCGACAAAATAATTTGACTCCAGAACAGAGGCAGCAGTGGGTGCAATCCATGTTGCCATGGAAGAACCGCCCATCATCAGGTAACTTCAGGACATCTTCAGGAATTTTTAGGAATAATATACCCCAGCAACAAGCTCCTGCACAGAAGGTTTCAGACGTCAAAATGAGATCCGTCTCTAAGCCTCAAAAACCACAGTTTGCAGCTGAGGAGCTATTCTACACAAGCCCACCTGGACAACCATACGAACAACAATATGGCGAGGATGACACGGACTACGTGCATCAACAAGGTCAGTATGCATACTGTAGTGACAACTACAAGCAACAGGTATACGAACCTCCAATGGACGACGGTGAGGTTCAGCAGGATTTTTACCAAGGTCCGGTGCCTTCAGACCAAAGTTAGTAAAATTAAATAACCATGATAAAGACCACCTTCCATATATTGAGCTGCCAGAATTTCAAGGTAAGTTCCTTATAGACACCGGAGCCTCGCGCTCTATGATATCACCTAGTGTAATACAAAACACAATTTTCGAACACCTTGTAGAGTATGAACCATTCGAGGTAAAAACAGCACATGCCATTACACAGCACGATCAAGTGGCCTATCTACCACTGCCACCCGCGTTTAACAGCGATATAATTCATAAGTTCCTTATATTCGATTTCGACCCCAAATATAAAGGCTTAATAGGATTGGATTTATTGAGGACGCTATCGTGTAACATAGATATAAAAAATAGACTTTTACATACCGCTAACTCGCAGATACCAATTTCATTTGACTATCCCAGTAAAAAACTCAAGATTGAACCAAAATGCGAAAAAATTATAGTAGTGAAAACTAATTATTCTGACGGTCAGTACATTCACGATGATTTCATATGGTCTAACGGCTTAAAATCTCCCGCAGCTATGGTCGAGGTCAAAGAGGGAAAATTTAGAACATCCATTATAAACTTTAATTCAGAAAAACGAATAATTTCTAATAATGAAAAGATATACCTAGAACCATACCGTGAGAACTCTGATAGATCTAGATGCAGTTTAAATTCCATAGAGGTTAACTCGGATATAGAGAAAGAATTACGCAACAACTTAAATAAAATACGTACAGACCATATGAATGAAGAGGAGAAACGCGAAATCACTAAGATTTGCTATCAGTATAGAGACATCTTCCACTCTGAAAATATCCCACTTTCTTTTACGCATGCAGTTAAACATCAGTTAAGACTGACCGACCAGACTCCGATATTTGTAAGAAGTTATAGACAAGCCCCACAACAACGCAAAGAAATACAGAATCAAGTAGACAATCTTTTAAAACAAGGTATTATTCGCGAAAGTATATCCCCATGGTCATGCCCTGTTCATATTGTCCCTAAAAAAACCGGACGCACTAGGTAAGGTAAAATGGAGGTTAGTCATAGACTATCGAAGACTTAACGATAGAATAGTAGAAGATAAGTACCCACTTCCCAACATAGATGACATTTTAGACAGACTTGGACGCGCCCAATATTTTACGACCTTAGATCTGGCTAGCGGCTATCATCAGGTGGAGATGCACCCTGATGACATAGAGAAAACTGCATTCACAACAGAGAGAGGACATTACGAATTCCTTCGAATGCCATTTGGCCTAAAAAATGCACCCAGTACTTTCCAACGGCTCATGGACCACATCCTTAGAGGTATTAACAACGTTTACACCTATCTCGATGACGTCATAATAATATCAACGTCATTGCAGGAGCATATAGAGAAACTGAAACAAGTATTTGAAAGGTTTAAAACACATAATCTCAAAATTCAGTTAGACAAGTCAGAGTTCCTTCAAAAACACGTCACATTTTTAGGCCATGAACTAACTGATCAAGGACTAAAACTTAATCAGGACAAAATTAAAGCGGTTTTAAACTTCCCTCTACCGAAAACACAGAAAGAAATTAAAAGCTTTTTAGGACTAGTAGGCTACTATAGAAAGTTCATAAAAGACTTTGCCAAGCTTACGAAACCAATGACCTTATGTCTTAAGAAAAATAGTAAAGTTATACACTCCTCCGAATTTTTGGAGTCCTTCAATAATTGCAAACAGATTTTAACCAATGCACCTATCCTACAGTACCCAAACTTTGACGAACCATTCATACTGACAACAGACGCATCGGACGTAGCCCTTGGTGCAGTACTGTCTCAAGGAAAAATAGGTTCAGATAAACCGGTAGCATACGCATCCAGGACACTTTCGGATACAGAAGCGAAATACTCGACAATAGAAAAGGAGCTCTTAGCCATCGTCTGGGCAGTGAAATACTTTCGGCCTTATCTTTATGGACGAAAATTTGTCATATATACCGACCATAGACCCCTGACATGGCTAATGTCACTAAAAGACCCTAATTCTAAATTAACTAGGTGGCGGCTTAAACTCGCTGAATACACGGTTGTTTATAAAAAAGGACGGCAAAACACCAACGCAGACGCCCTATCCAGAGTCAAAATTTATCATAAGAGCATCGATTCACTAGCAGTCAATTTAGATGACAATTTTGACGACGACATCATAAACAGAATTTTCGAAAACGTACGACAAGAGATAGATACGGAGACAGAAGGAATACAACAGCCCGTGGATAATAATGACGACAACAGCAATATAAACGATAATAACGTGACAGTTAGACCCAACGTACAACCTCCTCTAACAGACACATAATCCGATAGTATGAGTATCGTTACACGCGATCCCGATCACTTAGTGTCGACAAACCATACGCAACCCGACAACGAAAACAACGGCATACCAATCCTATCAGATGCGATCGACAGACAACTAAAACAATTCCATATCAGATCAACTCCAGGATCAACGTACAGAGTAGAAAATAGGTCTACTAACTCTAGAACAGTAATTAAAGATGTATTTATTCCAGTCAATAACACAGAGAAAGAAATTATCCAATTCTTAAAAGAACACACTATTGCTGATCGTGTATTCTACTGCTACTTTTATAATGAAGAACTGTACCTAGCATTCTCCAGAGTTTACACGACGGTATTTAACGACAGAGGCCCTAAGCTTTTTAGATGTATTTCACGCGTTACCCTTGTCGAAAACAAGACAGAACAACAAGAAATAATTAAGAAATATCATGAAGGCAAAACTGTGCATCGTGGTATTCAGGAGACATACAAGCAAATCCATAGAAACTACCATTGGCCTCACATGCTACTCACAATCCAGGCATTCATAAATCAATGTAGTATCTGTTTACAAGCTAAATATGAAAGGAACCCTCTTAGACCCTCATTAGCCTTAACGGAAACGCCCACAAAACCTATGCAACATATATTTATGGATCTGTATTCGACAGACGGTGCCACCTTCCTCACTATAATAGACAATTTCTCAAAGTTCGCACAAGCAATACCGTTGAACGCCACTAGTAGTGTACATATAGCTGAAGCTTTATTTCAGGTGTTCTCAGTTTTAGGAATTCCTTATAAAATTACAACGGATTCAGACAGTAAATTTGACAATGAAGTTATAAAGGAGATGTGCGCTTTACATGGTATAAACATTCACTTTACGACTCCATACAATCCAAATTCGAATTCACCCATAGAACGCTTTCATTCGACTATAGGAGAGATTATCAGAATCCAACGAATGACAAACAAAGATGATCCCATACAATTAATTATGAAATTTTCAGTCATTGCTTACAATAACTCAATCCATTCGGCAACAGAATATACTCCACACGAGTTACTATTTGGACATACAGCTTCTAGAAATCCACTAGAGTTTTATTATCCTAAGCAGTTTTACCAGGACTATGTTATCAAGCACAAAATGCATGCAGAAGCCGTCCAGGAATATGTGTCAGCGCACATGGCCAAAAACAAGGAACAGGTAATAGCGAAGCGAAACCAGGCAGCAGAGGAGATAACATTCAAGGTAGGTGAAACAGTTTATAAGCAGGTTGCCAAAACAGCGAGAAACGACAAAACTAAACCGGTGTTTAAAGGACCGTATAAGATTATTCATTTACATCCTAATAATGTAGCAGAAATAGTAGGGAATCATCCTAATTCTAAGTCTATTCGGGTACACTTCAAGCTTCTACGAAGACCCCATCTTGTTCCAGGACAACCATCATCGGAGCCTTCGTGTTCCAGGCAAGATCCTACGTAACATTTCAACCCGTAGACAATACGAACGGAGTTCTATTACTTAGACAAGGTCATATTCTGAAACAGACTGATTCCTTCAACCTTGCTTGTGTTTATAATGTTACGCACTTGAATCTAATATCGATAAAATTAATGGCATTATACGCAAGTGCTAAGGCAACTGAAAGTAACAGTACTTCAGAAGAATTACATAAAACATATAGGGATCAGATAGAACACAAGTCAGATTTAATTAATAAGAAAATAATTTTTATTGCACCTAGGATTAGATTTAGGCGTGGTATTATAAATGGACTAGGTTCTATAGTGAAGGCGATAACTGGTAATTTGGACAACGAAGACGCGATTCGATTTGAAAGCGAAATAAATAAAATTCGTAATTCGGTCTATAAAACGCAAAGCTCACAGAGGCGAACCCTATCTTTAGCTGAAAGTACTACAAAGGAATTTTCGAAACAACTAAGCAAAATAGATGATAACCAAAAGAGATTAACATCTATACTAAAAAACATAACAATTAATTCCGATACAATAAAAAACCAGTTACACTTTTTAGAGATTTACGTTCAAATAAGTTTTAGTTTACAGATTATTTTAGACAAGTTAATGGTGCTAGAAGATGCTATGGCATTCTCGCAATTAGGTATAATGCACCCTAGTATTATAAGCCCACGAAATTTAATTTTGGAACTTAGTAATTTGCAGGATAACTTTTCACTTTATCCAGCCGAGGAGATCAGTATTGATAATATTCATAAGATAGAAAAGTCTATTAGCGTTAAAGCCTATAGTACAGAACATTCTTTAACATTTATATTAGAAATCCCATCCGTCCAACCTATATTATATGATTATATACACATATATTCCCTGCCAAACAACCTAAACCTGACCATTATACCCAAATCCAAATTCCTCGCACTTGGAAGCGATGAGTACGCCTACCTGGAAGAAGATTGCAAGAAGCTGTCAGAAGATACCTGGCTCTGCAAATCCCTGGATACTAGAGCCATAGAGAAATCTGAAGATTGCATCATCTCACTCATCAAGCATAAAGATGGTAACTGCACTCAAGCGCGCATGAATCTGAAGCGAGGAAAATTGCAGAAGATCAAAGAAAATAAGTGGTTGGTAGTATCAACGGAATCAGAAATTATAAAAACCCAATGCGGACAGAAAACAGAATATAGGAAACTATCAGGAACATTTTTCATCAACCTAACACAGGACTGTCAAGTTAAGATCATGAATACAACAATAAGAACACACACCAGCAGCATCTCGATGGACGAAGTCATCCCTCTACCCAACGAGAACCTAATAAACCAGGAAGAAGTCCAGTACGAAATACATCTGGAAGACATCTCACTAGATAGTGTCTATGAACTTATGAACAAGGTTGAAGACATTCAAGAAATAGAAAACTGGAACTGGTCTTATATTATGGCAATCCCCAGCTGGTCTACAGTGCTCCTCTACATACTAGCAGCATCTATTGCAATCTGGAAGATATACAATTGGAATAAGCGATCGAGTAAAGCAAGTCGCGAGGACGCTCCTGGAAGCTGCAGAACTAGCTTCCAACTTAAGGAGGGAAGAGTTAACGTGTCGTAACCCTGGAATCGGGCTGACATAGCAGTTTCATAGAACAATGGGCAAATGAGGAATGCTTGCGCTGCGGAAAGGATCGCCGTGGAAACAATAGAACTGTCTCACAGTCTGACACCATCCACGCTTAACTTAACTTCTTTGTAACTTTACATATTAATTGAATTTATTACTTTTGTAACTTTTGTGAAATTAAATTAATTTTATTCTTTTTAAAAAGTCTTTTGATCGCCGCCATATCGTAACTCGCGTTGAGCGATTTTTGGTAGGGGGAAAACTTATGGGTTCGCGTCACCGATGACCTCGACATACTCGTGACGTATTGTGCGCAAGGCTTGCAATTAGGCTATAATTACTACTAGTCACCCGCCCTGGCTTTGCCTGGATAGAATATATTAATGCAGTCTCATTTAGATTTAAGATAGTCAAAGACCATTTTGTTTTCTCCATTTTTCGATTTTTCAAAAAATAAAAAAACTTTAAGCTTTTCGGATAACATAATAGCGAAGTTCTCTCCTGGCATTCCTCTCTATCTGTTCGTAAAGTTTCATCACAATCGATTTAGCTAAAATCGTATTTTTAATTAAACGAAGCTGCCTGACAGATGCTAATGTCACTTTGTGAAATAATGTTGCCAGGTTCAATGTAATAGTGATACGTTCAATCAGTCAATTATATACGATGACTTGATGATTATAACTAACATTAAATCTTGATTGACATTGTGAAACTTGTTGACGTCGTTATCATTGAAATAAACAGAAAAAATATTGTTAGTAAGAATAATAATTTAATACTATTGTGACTCGAGGGGGCGCTCTGACTTTCGGAACGCACCCTGCGCCCCCCGTGACGGTCGCCATTTTGTGTGTCATTTGTCTTGTCATTCATTCTAGGGATGCGCAAGCAAAAATATATCGATATATATCGAATCGATATTTTCATACAGCATCGATATATATCGCGTGATAAATATCAATATATCGATATATCGTCATCATTTGCATGATGTAAAGGAAAGGTAAAAACAAATATATTATTGACGGTTGGACGACGAAAAAAAAAACGAAAACCAACCACACTTTTGTACCTCCTTTTGTTGTTACATGTTTCGTCATTAATACAACATTTCGATAAAATATATCGAAAACGATACTCGGAAATAAATATCGATATATCGATATATCACGTTTTAAAATATCGACGATATATATATCGATATTTTTATTATAAATTATCGATATTTCGATATATCGATATTTTTTGCCCAAACCATTCGGTTTCTAACCTCTGTTCTGATCACTCGAATATTTTCTCTGCGCGCTTTCTTCCTGTTGCTTTTCTTTAGTTTCTTGTTAAGTTTTTTGTTACGCTGTGTTTGTGTTGTTTGTTATTGTTGAGTTATTGTGTTTTTATATTGTTTCGCATAAACGATATGGAACCTCAACCAAGCACGTCGAGCAAAAGCTCTTTTTCCCAAAAAAAAGGGACCAGGGGCTTCTCTTAGAGATACCGAAAAGCTTATGGTACGCAATGTCTACAAATACGTATTTGAGCAGGAAACTGCTTCGGTATTACCTACTGAATCGGTATGACCACAATGTTCAGTGTATTAAAAGAATACAAACAAAACGAGCAATTTAAGTCTCCTGAAAAACTTGGACCGATACATAATTTCAAGAATAAATTGGACGATTTCACCTTAGCGGCTATAATGCGAAAAGTACACCAATTTTTTAAGCAAATGATACCCACCATTGCAAAGGTAACTTTGGTGTTTTTTTTACATCTTTGCGTGCGGCACTATGTGTGCGTAAAGCTTGTTATAGGTACAGTGTACGTGACGACGACTGTCGCGTCACTATCACACAAATCAAAGCTGCATATTTACACGCTCACGCACAAATAGCGTTTTTTTAAGGTTCTATTTGACTTTTTTCTATTGCGTAGACTTTCTTACCTATAATCTGTTTACATTACAGATTCTTAAGGTTATTAATGATGACCCAGATTAACAGAACTTCGCTTGGAGTACTTTGAGGAAAATTTTATAACACTTATATTTTAAATACGCCACAAATTCAAGAAAAAGCGTGTTAATAGACGCTATATTGTTTTGTCGATCGCCAGCGATACCTTAAAAAATTAAAGATTATCGCAGGGAAGGAAGGTACATTTATTACCAAGATGAAACCTGGATCAACGATGGTAATTAAAATTTTCTCTGTTCTATTTATCTATTACAGTGTAGGTATTGCATGCCACCGGTGAATTTAATGAGTAATTGTTATTTTTCATTTTCTTGAAGGTCATACACCGAAGGAGCAATGGATTGACCAGACTGTGCAATCGTCCCGGCAGGCATTTTTAGAAGGGTTGACCACCGTCTTGAAAAGGCAAACGGCTAATTATTAGCCATATAGGCGGGGAAGAAGGATTTGTAGAAGATAGCTTACTTTTGTTCGGGGCTAAAAGAGGAAAAGAAGATTACCATCAAGAGATGAATGTTGAGTGTTTTGAGGAGTGGTTTAGTGGGGTTTTGCCCAAACTAAAACTTAATTCCGTAGTGGTAATGGATAATGCCCGCTGTCACTTCAGAAAGTTAGAATCGCTGCCTACAATGTCTTGAAATAAACCAAGAATACAAGAGTAGATGGCGAGCAAAAATATCCCATTCGAGGCACAAATGGTAAAAGTTACTCTTATAGACATTGTACGGCAGCACAAACATGAATACTGCGACAAGTATCGCAGTGTTCATGTTTGTGACGACATGGCAGCGGAGCGTGGAGTCACTGTTTTACGTTTGCCCCCTTACCATTGTGAACTCAATCCTATTGAATTGATTTGGACGCAGGCCAAAGGGTTTTTTGCAAGAAACAACAAGACCTTCAATATGAAAGATGTAAAAAAGCTTTTCGAAGAAGGACTAAATGAAGTGACTGCCGAAAAATGGAGTAGCTGCGTGGCTCACATAATAAAAGAAGAAGACAAAATGTTTGATCTCGACCTGAGATCTGAGACACTATCGACGTGATCGATATTTTATCGTAATTTTTAAAACCTTTAGTTAAAATTTTTTTTTTACCATTCAGTCGTTTTCTTTATAATTCATTTTGTTTTCCGTTCAGTCATTTAATCATAACACTATTTTTGATTCATCAAAACCTGAAAACCCAGTAAACGTCAGGCAGCTTCGTTTAATTAAAAATACGACTTTACTTCAAAAATTACCCCGGACAGACAGATAGACAAACATATTCAAAATGGTTATTTATGATTTAATAGCTTGTAAATAATCTGAGCATAACAGAAGTCAGTTATTTCTATACTACAATTTAATTTACAGTAAAGCTTATGTTTATTGTGTAAAATATCAATTTAAATAACGCGTAAAATTCTTATGAATTATACAGTATTAATTTTGAAAGAGTAGCCAAATTTTAAATTGTTTCAAATATATAAATAATATATAAATAATGATAGTAAATAAGCTTCTACTTTTATTAGAAATTATCCCAAATTGAATGTGATTTGTGGGCAACAACGTTTATTGCCTACCGATCGACCCCTACGAATGTGTGCGTGCGCAGTAAAATCAGTTAAAATAATGCATTACCACGCATTCTGAATTTAAAAGATAAAAAGGACATAATTATTGAGATTTTTTTAAAATTATTTTTCTTCATCATTTGCCTATATTACTCATTTTGAACCTTCCGTGCAAATTTGGCCGGTCATTGCAAAAAAAAGGTATAAAAAAAGCCGCTGCGACTTCCCACGGGTGATTTCTGGATGTCGACAACAGCGCCACCTACCGGGTCCAATTGTGAATCTAAACCAATTTCGAATCCATTTAGTCACACACAAAATTTCTAGCCGTTTAGGAGCAGTTCAGTGACACACACACGGACAGAACAATATTATATACTAGCTGCGCCCGCGGCGTAGCTCGCGTATATAGGTTTTACATAAAGAATTTGTCGTTTAGGTAAAAGAATATTAAACGATTTATATCAATACTGTATCAATAAGTGGTAACAAAATAAATCATTATCATAAAAATTCTAAGTCGTTTATGATAGAGCTTCTGTGTTAACGAAGTTAGAAGTAGGCTTAGCCGGTGTGTACACAAAAAGATTACGGGGGCTACTAACGCGGGCAAAAGCAACATAGAGTTGGCCATGTGCAAAACAGTCAGTACTGAGGTGCACTCCTACAACGCGGAAAGTTTGACCTTGCGCTTTATTTACGGTCATCGCATAACACACGCTGACTGTAACTAGGAACTGAACGCGCTTAAAACTCAAAGGAAAGTTATTTCTTAATAGAAGGATTTTGGGTTTTTGCGTATACTATTAATACTATATCGTTGCGATTTTGATACTTTGGTCGGGTTCCGTTGTTGTAGATATAATTTTCTTCAGTACTCGTAAGTCTCAATACGATTCACCGGCGGAGAATCTCAACACCGCAATTCAGAAAAGGTTGTAATTTGTACATCTATTACGTCCTTTGTGTGAGGAAACATACTTTTTTAATATCTTTTGTGTTTTAAAATAATAATAAATAATAATGCTATTATAAAGATTAGTAGTAAATATAAAAACTCATCTACATGAAAAAATCACAACCTGCCTTTTTGCATTACATTTTGCTCAACACCACCATCTATCGATGAAATTGGTTAACTATTGTACTTTAGATTTAATACGTTCTTTATTACTTTTATTTACTGCGTTTTAGATATACATAATTATATCATTATAGAACATTATTTTACATCATTTAACATTTAATTATGATTTATGATATGATATTAGTTTAAAACGCACTTGATGACTCAACCAAAGCCACCGTTGAGCAAATTCGTACATATACTTCCCTATTCATACTTCAGAATATTTATCATAACTTTTGCTGGAATGAACTGATTTTAATGAAACAAAGACTAATTGTAACGCGAAGATACACTTTATAATTTCCTTAACAATTCTTATGAAATAAGTTAGTACTTTATACGTGATACGTTAACAAACAAACAGACAGACAGAAAATTCTAAAAATGGTAGAAATGTATTTAATTACTTATTTTTAGTACCTTTCAATCACTTTTATTACAAAAATATAAAATGTACAGACATTTTTTCTTTCTTCTTTTATTATATGTATATAGATAGATAAAGATTTCAATAACGTTACATCTATGATGAATATATCTATCACAGGAACATATGACTTCTTCGGTTTCAACTTCTACACAAGCAGACTAGTCCGTAAAGCGAGAGACGGTGAAATCCTCTTAAGCTGGCCACTGGGAAATGGCTCTCCAGAGCTCGGTGCGGCCCTGGAAGCCCACGCCTCATGGGAGAAAGCGGCATCGGCTTGGTTCTGGGTGTGTATTCTGCCTTAAATTTATGTTTATATTCAGTGTGGTTTGTAAGAAGATGTTTTGACGAGATTTAGGAAAGAAATGCTCCGGCGGTTTGGACAGGTGGAAAGAATAAATCAGGAAAGAGTGACGAAGCAATGAAGACAACGACGAACAGATTCTATAAGGGACGCCCTACACGGAAGTTGTCGACTTTTTTTTTAATAGGATAAGAGTGACAAACGTGCACACAGTCCACCTGATGGTATGTGGTTGCTGCGGCCCAGAGACATCTACACCTATCCTCTATTACAAATCAAAATGCAGATGCGTTGTCACCCGTGAGGAATAAGATGGAATGCCTCATTTCCAGTAAAAAGGATCTCCGGTTCTCTACACTCACCATACGAAACACAGCAGACGTTAAGCTGCTATTTTACGCTGGTATTCTGTGAGAGCGTGGTCCTTCCCCGGTCGAGCCGACCTATTCGTGCTACAATTATACTACTAATATAGCTGCAGCATGGCTCTACAATGTTAAAACTAAATTGGTAAAGACTAAATTGGCGATATGTAGAAGATGGGTCAAATTATGAGTTCCATTTACCGACGTGCATGTGTGCGTTGACATATGGATGTTAAATAAGCTGAGAGGTACGTCAGGTTCGTGCCAATGAGGGCTAATAATTTTCTGCTTACCAGATGTCGCTAGTTGACACTGAGGTAAAGTTTTTTATTACATAATGTCATTTAATTGAAAAGTTAAGTTTCTTATTAATATAAAATATAGTAAATAGTACAGAAATAAAACATTAACCTTTACATTTTCCGAACAAATTAACTTTCCCGCTATGATTTCTGACAAATATTATACCTCACTTATAAGTGGCGCCGTCCTGGTGGCACAAAATGTCATTGGAAATCTGTAGTATCTGCCTACCATTTTGAGTAACATGTATGAAAGTGTATGTATTATGCATATTTATTAGAAACAACGGATGAATTAAATTTAGAGTAAGCAAAACTTAAAAACAACTCAAGATCTCCACTATCAGTGCATGCTGCCATCATCTTTGGAATGCAAAGTATCATCTCGGTATTCTATAAGATACATTTTATCTTAGTAATATTCTTAATAATATTGACTGATTAGGTGCCGATGAAAAAGTAAAAAAGCCCAGTTTTTAGTTATAACTTTGTATTGTTATGTTGTGCCTATTTTATTGGCTTTTGGAAAAGAAAATATTTCTTTATTTATTGCACACATTGAACGCGAAGCGGAGGGTTGTGCTCTACTATCGAATTTTTTAAGTCGCTCGTTTCACTCACATTATTAAGTCGTGTTTATTATTTTATATCACCCTAATATGTTATGGAAAGCACACGATTAGAAAGAGGGAATACTAATGAACAAGTTTGTGTGTGTGTTTTTTTTTAAATTCAACTACACGTGTTATTATAAAAAATTATATTGTGGATGTCCTTTAGTCTGTAGTTCATAAATTATCTGTGTACAAGATATCAAAGGAACTGCTTAACAAAACGACCTATTTTTTTTCACTTTCTTCAGATACATAAAGAGCTTGTTCTTTTCGATAATCACCTTTGTAATCCAATGAGTATAATGAAGATATCCTCAGAAAATCCCGAATATTGATATACCTGGTGTTGATCAATATTATAGGAAAAATATTTAATGAAGATTTATTTAACGTATTTCAGATTAACCCGGTAGGCATTCGAAAGATGTTGGGGTGGCTGAAGAAAACGTACGGAGACATAGAGATTTTTATCTTGGAGAACGGCGTTTCCACTATAGGCTACAACTTGAATGATGAAGAGAGAATTAAGTACTACAGAGACCATTTGGAACAGGTATTGTAGTCAGCATAATATGTAACAACGTATAAGCCGTAATTCTCCAGATGCTTATGCCCCGTTTTTTTTTTAATTTGATTTAAAAAAAAAACTGTTGCTTAAGAATTAAGATGCGTGAATATTGCTTACAAGTAAAGCTGTACACACACTGCTGTTTGGTTGATCTCTGCGTTTAATTCTTACTATTCTTCTTTTATCCTTGTTATATTATATTTTTCAACTGACTTCCAAAAAAGTATGTCTGATTTATTTTATGTTACCTCAGAGTTTTTTTCTAGGTCAACCGATTTTGATGAGTCTTTTTTTATTTGGAAGTTGGGAGTCGAATTGAGTACCTCCTTCTTTTTGAAGTCGGTAGAATAAAATGAGAACATCATCAATGTAGTCGAAGTCAATTAAATACGCATTATTAAGAACTCAAAAACTACTACTACATATGAGAAACACCAGCTTTCAAGTAAAAAAACATCAAAATCGGTTTACCTAGAAAAAAGTTCTGATATTAACACACATAAAAAATACAGGCGAAATCGGAACCGCCTCCTTTTTTTGAAGTCGGTTAAAATAGATTCATATGACTTTTTTTTATAGGAAATGGTGACAATCCGTACACAGTAAGTGGTTGCTGTGACCCATAGACATCTACATCTATTCTTAATAATGAATCAAATTGCAGATGCGTTGTCACCCGTGAGGACTAAGATGGAATGCCTCGTTTCCAGTAAAAAAAGTCTCCGGTTTTCTACACTCACCATACGCAACACAGCAGTATTAAGCTGCTATCTATAGCTGCAGCGTGGCTCTACCACGTATAAAATGTAAAAAAATGACTGATTAAGAAGATTAAAAAGGAGAAGAAATAAGAAGAAATAAATATGCTGCTAACATGTAATTCTACCGTTGTATGAAGGGTTTACCTTAATGGTCACGCTTGAATAGCTGATTGATAATGACAGTACTAGACGTGGTCACCTTTGATGCTGCCTTCTGTTGCCTGTCTAGGTATTTTACGCCTGGCGTAAACGAGATAGTTTACCGCTGTCTACAGGAAACGATAAGTTTTTTTAATGATATTAACCATAGTCGTCTCATATGACACCTACGGTACGAAACAGGGTAAGATATTACCTTAAGCCCCCAACACACGACCAACAAAACATTTGTTCAAATATTTACTTTAATGTAAATTTAAATACCGCAGTAAATAATACTTTTTTACCGTTAGTGGCGGTGTACGAATATCCACTACCTCATATCGTCCCGTGGATGTCGTAAGAGGCGACAGAGGGAAACAAACCAGGAGATGGGCAGCAGCGTCTTCGTAATAACATATAAATATAAACTCGGCCAGCTAATCTATGGGGAGGCCGATGTTCAGTTTTATCATCCTATCAAAAATTACTGCTGAACATAGGCCATAGATGTACCAACGTATAGACATCCCATTTGTCCAGCCTCGCCATTCTTCATCGCTCGCCTAGCTGGCCGAGTGCAA